TATACGTTTTGTTTTTCCTGATTCATAAAATTCTATTTCTGTCTATTTATATCAATTCGACGATTGTCTTTAGAATAATATTTATTTTTATTCAAAGTCGATGACGCAAATCGGGATGGTAAATAAACTTCAGAATGTAAATTTTTGCATGTAGTATCATTATAGGCATTTTATTATATGTAAGAAATTGAATAAATAAAAGTTAGTTAGTACGGAACCTTTAAGGGTGTCAATTGTAAAAATAAAAGTTTTTGGACCAATATTTTATTATACCTATCTGTGAGAGGTGTGCGTGAGTGTTGTTTATATAAATTGCTGAAAGTGTTTTTGTAAATGATGATCTTGTTTATATTGGGAAAGATTTTTGATTGAGTTGTAAAATATAAGATGTGGTGTACAAAGATTTGCCAAAGTGGTTTCCAAGTGGTACGAAAATTTGTGGGAGAATCGTTGGCAAAACGTTATCTAAAGCTTACATATTGAATTCAATATAGAAGCCGATGGTATTTACTTGAAAATTTTTATGTAAAATGGTAAATAAATAGAACAAAATTTATAAAAAGTGAAAGCAGTGATAAAATAGATTTAATACATTTTCTGTTTGATGAATTGATGGGAGGAAGGCTTTTCCAATTGAAATTATTTAAGGTTGGAAAAAATCGTAAATCGATTCAAAAATTATATAATTAACTTTCTGTAGAGTAAGTTATAGTTATCCCAAAAAAATAACAATGAAATTTTTTTATATACCTTTACGTTTTAGACGTTTATGATCATTTTAGCATACCTTAAAAAATAGATGTATGTGTGTGTGGGTGTGCGGATACAAAATTTCGTCGACGATTTCAGGAACACGGGTCAACCGATTTGAATAATTCAAAAAGCATTCGATTCCTATTATTAAGGATATGTGCTGATCTTTTTTTCGCAAAAGCAGGTCCAGCCGTTTCGGAGATACTAGGCAAAAAGTTTCAAAAATTGTATTTTAGTTTTTGAGAGTAAGGAACGTAAATAAAATGTATTATTTTATTTGCATTGAGAAATGAAGAACTGATTAAATTTTTGGGATGACAGGTCTAGCGGTTTCGGAGATCTAGTAAAAAATCTAGTTCTAATCTAAAATCTTTCGGAAATCTAGTTTACATGTCCCGTAACATTGTTTGTTCGTTAGAATGCGACTCGGCGCTTACGCGCTTCTATATTTTGTCTCTATTTAGCTAAGGCAACGCTATTGCTTTGAAAAATGCTGAAAAATAACTAAAACATTTCAAATAATAAAAGAAAATCTGTTTACTCTGAAATGTCAATTTTTTAGTTCTTCTTTTCAAAAATTTTAAAATTCTCAAAAATCAATTTTTTTCAATTTAAAAAAAAAATTAATCTTTTTTAAAATAAATAATTTTTGATACAGAAAGTTTCAGCAATTTGCCTTAAGGCACGATGCCATACACCACTAGTTTTAACTTCCCGTAAATTTTTAGCTTCGGATGGCCGATTTTTTCTGCTGACTTTGAAATTTTTAAAATTGTCCCAGCTGCTTTTGGTCAAAAATCGTCTTAACGGAGTTTAACTGTATTTAGTATATAAATACACTTGTTGATATGTATGTAATTGTGTTTGTACATATATTATATTTATTTTATTACTAGATATCCGCCAGACAACCGTTTCTCAGAAATACGTGTCGTTTTCGCATAAATAAGATTCGACAAATTTTTCAACATAAACAAAGTCTAACTGAAATTTATTTAATTGTTATTGTTTAAACAAAACGACATTAAACTATCATGCTATTACAGCATGTTGTACAAAGGACACTCGAATTATAAATCTCATTATTTTTCCATTATGGAAATGTGATTGTAATTCAAATTTTAGATAAATTACACGTAGAAATTCGGATAAATGAACCGAACATTTGTATGTCAATGGACGCAGTAGTAAAATACAAACATAATTGAATTTGAAGAATTTAAGAATTATAAGACTCGTTGAGTTTTCCTCTATAATTGGATAATATTTTTAATAGATAAGTTAGACCCTATAGGTCTGCTTATATTTTTGATTATTAAAAAAAAAAATTAGAAAATAATTATTAGATTTTTATAGTATTTCCAAAAAAAAGTTAAGTGGCGGTCTCTATAAAGAGCTGTAATAAAGTCAAAAGATATCTCATTGGAGAATACTTCTCAAATCCCAAATCAACTAAAAAAAAACATTGGTGTATAGCATCGTGCCTTAAGGCAAATTGCTGGAACTTCCTGTCCCGAAAATTGAAATTTGGAAAAAACATTTAAAATTTTTTGAAAACTGATAAAAAAAGATTTTCGAAGATTTTTAAATTCAAAAAAAAACAAAATAAATAAAAATTAAATTCAAAAATGTGATTTTTTTATATTTCGAATTTTTTATACTTTGAATTTTTCTGAAAGTTTTAAACTTTTTTCAAAGCAATCGTGCTGTGTGACTGGTTTAAAAGAAATATCAAAGCGCGTAAGCGCCGCATCGCACGCTTACGGATAAATATTGGTACTAAAACCATAAAAATGCAAAACAAAAATGTAAAGTTAAAAATTAATAACTACTTGCTTTATTATTAATGCATTTAGGATTCGTATAATTAGCTATATTATTTAAATAATAGAATTGGCAACTTGTTTAGATTTTATTGAATACAGCGTTATGAAATTTTCAGATTGTTCTTAAAATTTCCAAAGTTTATACAGAAATTGAAGTGATTAATATTCTTTAGTTTGATGTTTTATTTTCAAAATATTTAAATTATTCAATTGGATTTCATTTAACTTCTTTGAATTATTACTTTAAATTTTGGAATAAATAATGAATCGAAACGGTCAAAAATTAAATTTTTGTCAATAAAATTAGATTTACATTCTTGTTCTATTTTAACATGATTTCTTTTTATTTTATTCTAATTTGATATTCATTCGTATCTGGAATTTTCTGCCATTTTTCACCTATAAAACATGAATATGCTGACTAAGTCGAATACTGAATTACTGAATTTGCAAATGTTTGCTAATATTTACTAGTATTCTAGTTCAAGGTCTGTTAATTATTCGTATTAGTATTTAATAAATTACATAATTCGTACATGTGCATTCGATTTATTTAATTAAATAATTAATACAGGTCAAACGTTTGATAAAAATCACAAAAATTGGAACTGAAAACAAATTGTATCGTATGAAGGATTTTTAAGAATTTTGATGTGTCAACAAATATTTTTTGTAGTAATTTACTTTAAGAACTAAAAATTCCATATGTCTATTTTAAAACTAAATTTATTTAATATATTATAAAAATCTTACAAGACACATACACACACACATATTATAAAATTATATCTTAATTACATTAATTTACAACTAACCCAATAACTAATACCAAAACCAACCTAATTTAAATTAATAACTAATTGTTAATATGATAATATTTTTTAACATATATATTAGTATTTTTTGTTCAATATATTTATATCTGATGTGATTAGAACTTAGACTAGGAATTATAATTTAAGACTAAATAATATAAATATAAAATTATAAAAAATAATACTATTTACAACGAATTAAAATAAAAATTTATAAATTTATTTTAAAATGAAATTAGAAGTAACATATGATAATCAACTAAAATTTCTTTTGAAAATTAAAAATGTAATTACAAAAAAGTTAAGAATAAATAAATAAAGTTAAATCAAAGAAATGATAAATAGGCACTTAACAGTTCGAAAGACTAATTTATATAAATATAAAATTATAAGATATTATAAAAATTCTATTTAAAAATTTTATTTATAAAAGTTCTATTTACAAAGAATAAAAAATATAGAGTATAAGAAAATAATGAATCTTTTTTTTTAAATAAATTTTACAACAAATTAGACGCAAAATAAAATAATGAATTGCCAAACCTGTTTTTTAATTTAAATAACTAAAAATTAAATTTCAAAGCTTTCATTACAATTGAAGAAAAAATATAAAAATAAATATAGAATTTTTTTTTAACTCTGTGACATTTATAACATAAATATTTAATTGTTATTCTTAATTTTGCAATTATTTCGAGTTTAAAGGATGAAACAAATACTATTGACAAAAAGTAATAAATTGACTAAAAATATCTGAAAATATATATAATTATTAATAAATGAATTTAAAAATAATAATAAATTACTAATTAACTAATTGTCAATTTAATGAACTGATAAATTTATCGAAACATAAGTAAAGAGTTCCAAATTTAATAAAAACCGAAAAAATTGTCTTGCAATCGCCATGTTTTCAAAAATTATAATAAAAATAAAAAATTAACAATAAAAATTAATACTGTTTGTAATATGAAAATCACAAATTACTTGACGAGACTTATTTGGTACAAAAAATTACATTATGCCAACTCAAGCTTTACTTTAATTTTAATTTATTATTTATTCTTGGTATTTGTATGAAAAATACTTTTTATTTATGTACTATTTATCAATATGTATTCTGTTTCAAATAATTAATGTTTTCTCATAACATTTTTTTCAAAAATAACTGTTATTGCTGGTATAATTATTAAATTTATAGCACATAATCTAATTATTAGTAGAGTCACATTAATAATAATTTTATCTTATTTTTTGTTAGTAACTTAAATATATGACCATATCATTTTTAGTATCTGGGAAATATGTTTTATTTTTGCTGGGAGCCGAACGAAAGCTTGTTTTTGAGAGTTTAAAGTTTTTTAAACTTCCTGCTTCTAATCTAATCTAAAACATAATAGATTTCTGTGGATGGAATAAAAAGATATTAAAAAATAGCACTTGCAGTCTATAATATAAGCAAAAAAATGTACCGACAAAAGACTACTGAATTTTTTACCGTTGTTACCAAAATGTCGCAGTATAAGTCTCGTTCAGTCCCAAACATATTTGTAAACCAAATTTCTACCTAAACCTAAACCTAAAACTCACAAATTTCTTTTCCCTCTCATTTATGATCATCCAAACTCCTCAAACTCCTGGACCTCTCGAACAGCGAAGGGTCCGTATAAATGGGTTCGCTAGGGTCATCAAAGGACCCCGGTCTGGGCCCAGCATCACTTCCCAATTCCAAATTCGATCCTAGAAGTAACGCCCTCGAGTTGGAATTTTGCTCGGAGACTCCCAAAAGGCGGGATATGCCGATTGTCGAAATTCCCGGGATGCTGTGAGTGCTCGATGATGTGGGTTGGCTAGGCCTGTTAGAAGGGTCGATGGGTTGGGTTTGGAATATTGTCCTGGGGAGAAGTAATTGATGGTAGAATAATAATAGCTAAGGTCACTCCATACATTTAAAACTGGCAAATAATCTAGCCTTCTGGTAAATCAAACTCACCTTGGTGAAAATGGTTTTTGTAAACCTGGCGCAAACAAAGACAAGTTGCTGATGCCTGATCTCATCCTAGAGTTGTTGGTGTTGTTGTTGGGCGCAGAATTGGTACCCATTCGTGTGTTATAAGTATATTCAGTTGTCAAGTGATCACCGCGATTGGCCAAATAGTTTTTGGTCATTACTGTCCAGTAACGCCTAAAAAAGTTAAATGAGAATTTTACTCGCCCGCCAAGCATTTCTCAACAACAGATTCTTTTTCTAGATATTTAATCAAATACGGCTGTAAAGGCTAATTTTGTCGTCAGTCAAATTCTGGTAAAAACTGTTGTTCGAAGAAATAGCATTTCCTGATATAGTAAATATTAATTTATTTAAATATTAGTATAACAAGCTTTAATTTTGCAAAAAAAAATTTAGCACTTGTGCGAGAACAACAGTATTTAAAAATAGAAAAAAAATTACATAAGTGAATCTTATACAGTCGCGAGCAATTTAGATCTCTATATGTGAATATGTCGATTTTCAATACTAAAGTACGTTAGCTCAATAGTGGTGCAATGCTTAATATAGTTATAAAGGAGTATACGACTCAAATGGCGAATTACAATTGTTTTTGGATATGAAATAATACATATAGTCCTTTTGTCATTTTGGTGATAAAGAATAATATCTTTTGGAGAATCTTGTGTTTCACTTTTCAAGTTCAAAAAACGAAAATGTGAACAAATTTTAATTGTGATTCCATGTAAATGTTTTCTCCGCTATTTAACATGCAAAATAATACAGATTTAAAAAATGCATTTTTTCTGTAAACATCGAATTTTTTTTATAAATCTTATGCTAGCCCAGAGAAATTTTTGCTTTTGTAAAAAAAAACGCAAATCAAATTATGATAAATTCTTTTTTTAGAAGTTGGTATGTGCGCGAACAATTACACAGGTCCACAAAAGAAAAGTCGCTTGATAATAATTAATTCATTCAATTAAAGCAATGCCAAATTTTTTATTAAAGTTTTCAAGTAAAATTGTTTTCATTTTGTATTAATATTTATAATCACTCATAATATACACTCGTTATTATATAAAATATATACTTTGTTGAATTTTATATTCTTGTTCTTTTCTTGTGGCAATTTTGTAATTTTGTTGCAATTACTTCATTCCCGCGCTCTCGCTCAGTCAATATATCTTTTAACATAATTTTAGATCAGACTTTTATCAGAGTTTATGAAAAAGCTTCAATTTTATTAAAAAAAGGCAACTTATTTTTATGATGGCTTGTACGGCCGTAAAATTTTTTTCAAATTTTGTTCTTTGTTTTAATTTTTTTATGCGGAACGAAAACCACATACACTACAACTTCAAATTTTAATTATTTTATAACAGTCATTTTAGTAGTCTAATTATTTTTTATATAGTTCGGTCATCAATCAATTGACTGTTATCGCCTTTTTTGTGAACGTTTTTAATTGAAATTCAATCGAGATTTTTCTGAGCTTATAAAAAGCTTAAACTTATTCGCTCTTTCCGCTACAACATTTTGAAAATGGCAACGAAATGGTTACCTCCGATAAAACCAACTGATTTGCAAGCTTATCCTATTGTACAAATATTACTCGATGTGCATAAGAAGTTTTTGAGTGTCTCACAAAAGGAGCTATTTCAGTAAAAAAAAAATAGAAATTCAATTTTATAACCAGGAGACAAAACTGTTTTTGGAATATTTTTCAGAGTATAACATAATTACAATATGGATGTTAGTATTTTAGCGTTACAGTGGGTAAATTATCAATATAATAATATTTACACATTCAGAATTAGTCAGTCATTTCTTATACTAATGATTTTCTAAAAATATTATCTGTACCTAAATGTTCGTCGGGTTAGCTAGTATATATATAAATTACGTGCGGCCCGCCATGAAATTTGAAAATTTAAATTGGCCCGTGGGTTAAAAAGGTTGCTCGCCCTTGTTATAATTGTTTGATTTGATTGGTTTAAAACTACTAGTTTATTATTTCCTCACCTGTAAAAATAGGCTGAGGCTGTCGTGACACCCAACAGCAGTGTGAACAATACCCCAAGTGACGTCACTATGGCCTTGTATTCGGTGCCAGTGACGCAGACTTGGTTGGGATCCTGTAGGGTACTCGTGTAAATTGGTCCGGTTTCCCGATTGACCAAATTAGGGTCTTCTACTAAAGCCTGGGCCCTTCTGGCAGTCTGCTGCAACTCTTCGCGGGACTCAAACACCTGATGGAGGAAGATAAACGATGGTAAAAGATGCCAAAGTCATAATTTTAAATTTCATTAAACTGGATTACGATTTCTCACTTCTATCATTTCTCTAACTTGTTCCGGCATCTCGTGCTCGTCTTCGTTCTCCTCCTGGTCAGTCTTCAAGCCGTCACCAGAATCATCTTCTTTCGAAGATTTAGAATCTTTCTTGGTCAAATTCTGTTCACCACCTTCCGAAGTCACCAAGAAGCTTTGCTCGTCATCCAATGGACTGTCAACATCTTCATTGTCAAAGTCGGTGTCATTGGTGACATTGTAACCCGTGTCGGTGTCATTGTATGAGTTGAAAGTGACATTGCGACGTCTTCTGCGTTTTCCAAAGGATGGCTCGGAACGTCCTGCGTGCCCTGAGGAACAGTAGGCCTAGAAAGGACAGTAGGCAATTTAATAAAAATTTGGTTTTTATTTCATCAAGTTTTGCGAACTTGGACGATACTGCCATAGTATAGACAGCAAAAAATTTTGTGCTTCCCTAGTTAAACTTTTTAAAGAATTAGCTTTATATGACATTACTGAATTTTCTCAATTTGATTTCAATAACTATTTTCTTGCATAATCCATATCCTTTATCTATGTAGTCTGACCATTTGAATTTTGAGCTTGACTGGTGGTCAAATAGACTTTAATATGATGAACTTGATGATGAACATTGTATTTAAGGTTCGAATGCTTTTTTTCAGCTCTTTTTTTAGAAGCGAAATTTGTGCATCTACTATGATTATTATAAAATTACTGTCCTTTTATTATTAATTATGAATAAGCTTGACAAGAGCCTGAAATAATATCTATTATTAATGATTACGGCTTGCTTATAAATAAACTAGCTGTAAGTGGAATTCTGTCTTAAGGCAATTAGGGCATCGTGCCTTAAGGCAAATTGCTGGAACTTCCCGTACCAAAAATTATTATTTTTTTTTTAAAACGATTAACATTTTTGAAAAAAAATTAGTTGTAAAAAATAAGATTTTTGAGAAACTATAAATTGGACAAAAAATTAGTTTTTTTTGCAAAAAAAAAATTTTTTTTTTAAATTTTTTTTTTTTTTAAATTTTTTTTTTTTTTTTGAAAAATTTTTTTTTTTTTCTTTATTTTGACATATTGTGGAAGATCTGAACTTTTTTTTCAAAGCAATCGTACTGCTTTAACTACCTAGGGACAAAATATAAAGCGCGTAAGCGCCGCGTCGCTGTCTAACGCATAAGCATTGGTACGGAACCGATAGGAATGTTAACAAAATGTATACTTATTGTTAAAATCTCTATAAAATGTCTGATAATTTGATGTGCATATGTCTAATGATCATTTTTGACCGCCAAATGGCTCATTTTTTTACTTTTTCCTCTATATCTCCGAAACCGCTGGACCTACCTTCATGAAAGTTGTATCGATTCTTCATCTTGTCAATACAAATAAAATGTTTTTTGAATTATTAAAATCGGACGCTCCGTTCTCTTAAAAACTGAGTTACCGTTTTCGGAACTTTTTGCCCCGTATCTTCGGAACGGCTTGACCTGCCTTTGCCAAAAACTAATCAGCACGTCTCCTTATCAATACGGATCGAATGTTTTTTGAATTATTCAAATCGGTTGATCCGTGTTCCCGAAATCGTCGACGAAAATTTGTATCCGCACATACATACACACACATACATACATACACACACACACACACACATACATCCATTTTTTCTAAGGTATGCCAAAATGTTCAGAAACCTCTGAAACGTAAAGATATATAAAAATTTTCATTTTCGATTTTTTTGCGATTACTATAACTTGCCCTACGGGAAGTTAATAAATAAATAAATATATGCAGATAATGATAAAAAAAGACTCGAAGATACTAAAAACACGGACATGAAAATATACACCGAGTGGCTAACTGAAAATAAACTAACAATTAACAACGATAAAACAAAATACATATATTTCAAACATTGAAAAAATACCAAGAACACTAAACTAAATATTAAAGTAAATAATAGAGAAATAGAAGAAGTGGAAAGCATAAAATACTTAGGACTGATAATAAATGAAAAACTGACAAGGACACAACATATAAACAAAATAAAAAGAAAGATAGGAACATTAACAGGGGCATTGAAAAGGATCCACTCTTTCGGCAAAAGAAATAAAATACTAATTCTTAAAACGCAAATAATACCTATAATTTTATATGGAATAACAACATGGAGCCAAACAACTAAAGCTAACCTAAATGACATACAGAGAATGATGAACAAAGTCACAAAAATAGCATATAATTTTCCACATCTAACATCCACCAAATACTTACAGAGAGAAACAAATAATTATTCACTAAATAACATAATTAAAATAGAGATATGCAAACTAATACACAAAATGAAATTTAACCGAATTTAAACAAATGCAACAATAGACATAAATCAATATAAACATGAACACTACACTAGACAACACAGCAATTTTCACATTGAACACAATAGAAAGAAGTTGAGAGGAAATGTTATATTGAGCGCTAGTAAAATATAATGAATTGCGAAACGATATTAGGATAACCAATGATGACGATAAATTTAAAAGAAAAATAAAGAAATACTATAAGGAAATTGAAGACAAAGAAAAGACTGAAGGGTTATATAAAGATAGAGATATTTTAATTATAATACACGTTATATTATTGAAATAGTCAAATGAAATGTATATATTATATGAAAACTGTTTTTCATAATCTCTCATACCAGGCACCTCTGCCTGACTGAGATATGAAAATAATGTATATATATAAATAAATAAATATTTTTTTTTTAAACTTACTGGTTGGCAACCGTCTCTGCAAGTCCTAACAGTTGCCTCAAAAACTAAGAAGTTGGACTCTGGAATCTTGAAGGCGTTGAATCTTGCTTCCAAAGAGTCACCATCTCGCAATCTGTCCAGCTCAGGGAATACAAAGTTGTCCACCGGACATCTATTTGGACAAAAACGGGCGAATGAGTTTCATTATTCTTAGAATTTGATGTTGTTAGTTAACTTACCCATATCTGTCGATCAATTGGACGGATCTTCCACTGTAGGGGTCCCTGGCGACAACATTAGTGGCGAAGATGTCTGTTACGTAACCGTAGCCATCCTGGGGTTCCAGGCGGAATGTCAAGGGGTCTCCGACGGCAATTGTCGTCGTCGGTCGTCCATGGTAAAGGATCATCAGACGCACTTTGGAACTCAAAGAATTTTCAGCTGGGAGGTACTCTATCGGGATGGGACTACCAGATCTGAAAGTAAAAATATTGATAGAATTTTGAGCATACGACAAAATGTGATTTTGTAATTACCCCGCTCCAATATATCCTGAAGTGACTACAGCCTCACCAGGACCTCTGAATAAGCACGTCAAATTAAATCGTTTGTCTTTGCCAGTTTGTACGTTGTCACTGAATTGCACGACTACTATATTCGTCATGGTGTCACCATACTAGAAATAAAAAAATCATTAAAATGTTTTATAATATGAAACAAGTACTAATTATATTGGTGTAGTGGATAAGAACGTGAACTAGCAACTTGTCTAACTGGATATCAAGGAATATGTTAATAGATTTTCACTTGAGGTTATATAATCTAAATAATTTGTATAATATATAATTCTGTTATAATTTTAATTTTTACTAATCAACATGGATTCATGCTTGCCCGTTCTACGATAACAAATTTAATCTGTATTAAACAATATATAGCTGAGAATCTTGACACTAATGGACAAGTTGATGTTATTTACACTGACTTCAGTAAAGCTTCTGACGAAATTGATCATAGCATTCTTGTGACTAAATTATCTAAGATTGGTCTCAATTCTTCACTTATTTATTTTTTAAGAGCTATCTTCATAATCGTAAACAATTTGTCTATCTTAATGGATTCTTGAGCAACATTGAAAATATCAGTTTAGGTGTACCTCAGGAATCCATTCTTGGTCCACTACTGTTTATTATTTTTATTAATGACGTATCTGATATTATTAGCTGTCCACATTTATTATTTGCAGATGATCTCAAACTATATCTCAAAAAAAAATCTATTGATGACTGCTTATTTTTACAGTTATCTTTCAATTATCCTACTCCTAAATCTAATTTTCTCTTAAATTCGCCTATTTTACTTATGTCCTCTAACTTTAATTTAATTAATAATAAAACAGATATTCACAACACTTCACCTAATTAAATAATCTCCATCTGCACAAGTTAACCTTTTTATTTTCTTTTTAAATATCTCATTATTTTATCTTATTCTGTATATAAATAATATTGTTACATTCTGCATTATATCTAATTTTATGTTAAGCATTTACTATATATTGTAATTTTGTATATATTTTAATTGTTATTCATTCTCTTGGAAGAAATCTGTGGGCTATATATTTAAATAAATAAACAAATCATTTACACATGAGTGGTCGACCGCTGGGTTGCCCACTCGAGTCAAACACTGGATTATGATTTACAACAGCTTACAATAAATAAATTCTATTCTGATTTTATTCTTACTCTCAGTGTTCCACAATCAGGATAGCCCTGAGCTCCGGAGACCCTCAAAACGTTGACGGTTCCTCCGTCGCCCCTAAAGAAGCACCTGTCGTAATGGCCGTGAGTGTATATTCTTCCGTAGAACCCTTGAGGAGTTCGGAGGGTAAACTCCATACCATCTTCGGTACATGTCTGACTCACTAAAATAATATAAATTATATAACAACTAATAGTGGTGAATGATATTTGGAATCTTAAGTTTTATGTATAAATATACTAGCTGACCCGGTAGACGTTGTATCTAGTGTTATATCGAGTACTGAGTAAATATCGATACTTTGTGGCCGATTGTGAGTGCTTTTGCTATCGATTTTTTAGCTCGATCTATTTGCCAATATCGATCTTTTTCGTCGATAGTACTCAAAAAGAATCGACAGCGTAATCTATGAACACACTCATCGGCTAACTATTAAACCACTCATTGCCAAATGCAAAGCAATAGTCTCTCTAAAGGTGGTCATAATTGTTCAATAAAATGATCCCGAAGGGTCATTAGTCTCAGAATTTATTGCTCAATAACCCAAAATGAATATGTCCACACTAATAACTAAAGATGTTTATTTATTATGTACTCTTGTGTAAAATGAGATGGCTTTTTAAAGTAGCTTAAATGTTTTATAAAAACATATTCAAGAATCGAATGATGATTATTTCAAATAATAATACTCACCAATTTCAATACATTAGTATTTTGCATTTATTATATTTCGATTCTTTTTTACGCAAAATACTAATATATTGAAATGGATGAGTATTATTATTCGAAATAATATATTTCGATTCTTTTTTTACGTAAAATTCTCATGTATTGAAATTTTTGAATATCAACATGCAAACATATGGGTTTGAGTTTCTCGGAATCATTTAAAACTTTAAATCCCATCGCTCCGAAAGGATGTTTCTCTACAAGGTCGAAATATTATCTTGACCGTCATTAAACTGAATGTTTATTGCTTTCCAAAGAGCTTCATATTGCACTTTTATGTAAACATGTAACGGCTTTTTAAAGTTGCATGCTCTCTAAAAATATTCATATAAAAATATTCAACAATTATAAAATATTATTTTACTTAAAAATATTATTATTGTACTTAAAAAGTATTGCTTTTTGAATTATAGTATCAGACTATTATTAGGTTGTCAAATATCTCCCTTCCGCTTTTTTGCTCTTGGTTTATAATACAAAAAGGCGGAAGGGAGATATTTGACAACCTTACATATTGTTTTTGTCAAAAATACTCGACTATTATAACTTATCTTTTTTTTTTTAAAAAAAATATAGAATTTGAAATCAGTATTGAAAAATTACTGTTAAAATTTTACAATATTGAAAATGATTCTGATTTATAGAATTCATTCTAATATTGTGATATGATATTTAATGAGTTTCAGATCTTTCTTGCACTTATGTTTGATTTTTATGAAAAGTACTCAAAATTCGATATTGAGTACTATCGATACTTTCGCCACGATATTTTTTTGGCATCGATATTTTGATTAGATACTTTTTAAAGTACTCAATATCGATCTTTTCCTCGATACTTCTAACACTAGTTATATCTATTATTATTACCGTCCAAACAGTCTCCGTCTCCGCCCCGTCCGTCAGAGCCGAAGGTCCTCTCGTAAAATTCGAAGCCTCCGTTCTGCGCCCCGTAGTCGAATCTGTCGGAGCCGCCTCCGTTACGTTCGCCACCGATCGGGGGGCCTGCTCCTGGGGCGTCTCTGGAGTCTCGGTCGCTCAATTCGCAGTTTTCTTTGCTCTGAGAGGACGAATCGAGGCGCGAGTCTCGCCGGTCGTAGGGCGACACGCTCAGGGAAACTGGGCCGTCCCTGGGATAGTAAAAATATTGATGTAGTAATTAATTGTCATTTAAGGGTAAATACTCAAATTTATATTATTTATTTATTTTACCTGTAATTAAAGGATCTGCAAATGAATTCTTGTGCTTCGATGCACTCCCTCTGACAGGCCGCTAGTGTGGTCACGGTCAAAAATCGTCTGATGTAAGGACGACGCATTCGTTGTCTCGTACCCACCTGGTATAGTAGAGAAATATTCATTTTTTAATGATTAAACATATCTTATCAAATTCTAGCCGTACTTGCGTAAAAAAGTTTTTTATAACTTACCGTAGGGTAAGTTATTGTAATCGTCCAAAAATCGAAATTGAAAATTTTAGCATATCTTCACGTTTTGAGGAGCACAACTAGTGTAACCGTGTAAAAAAAGGTAATTTTTAGGAATTTATAATAAAAAACTACTTTATCAATCAATTCAAAATTTCAGGAACATATTTATGAATATTTTAAGAATACATAGTAAAATTTTTGAAGAAAAAAATTAAATATTTTTTAAGTTATCGTCGCTCTCCAACGGCGCGACAAAAAAAGGCCCTTCACTGCTGCAGTGATTCCGGCCTTCTACGTGGATGAAATTTAAAAAAAAATCTTGTTAAACTAGATAATATTGTCTGTAAAATGAACTACGATAAAGAAAAATAATCAAAAATTGACAAAATGGCGGCGTTTTTTGAAAAAAAGTCGAATTTTACCCAAAATCCGATCAAAAAATCGATAGTTTATTTTACGGAGAACTATATAGAACATGTAAAAAAATTCGATAGTGATCGGATCATTTGTTTTTGAGTAATCACTGTAGCAAATTCGAAAAATGCTGTTTCGAGAAAAACGCGTTTAAAGATAAAATGATCATTATACTATATACTATATACGAGGTGTGTTCAAAAAGTACCCGGAATTACTAATAATTAAATTTCGCGGGTCTGGAGTGTCTGATTGTCAAAATATTTTTTATATTGTGTTGGTATACATGCCCCTAAAGTATGATGAAATTTTCAGCTATATTCACTGTTTACTTTGTCTGTGGTAGTCGCTAAGGTTCGACGTGTTTTTCTGAGCTCGGCGATTTTTACAATGGAAGAATTGAAAAGTCAAAGAATTTGTATTAAATTTTGCGTAAAAAATGAAATAAAGTGTTGCAAAGTGCAAAAATTCACCAGATATGGCTCCGTGTGACTTTTTCCTATTCCCAAAGTTGAAGAGACCCATGAAAGGACGGCGGTTTTCCTCGATTGAAGAAAATCGCTGAGAGTGCTCAAGGACATATCAAAAAGTGAATATCAAGGGTGCTTCGAAAATTGGAAAAAACGCTGGCATAAATGTATTATATCTGGGGGGGACTACTTTGAAGGGGACCACATTAATGTAGACGAATAAATAAATATTTTTTTGAAAAAAACGAAAATTCCGGGTACTTTTTGAACAGACCTCGTATATACTCTTTTAATGGCTGTAACTCAAAAACTATAATTATAAAATATCGATTTAAAATTGTGTTTCTGAACATTTCGGCATACCTCAGAAAATAATTGATGTGTGTGTATGTATGGATACAATTTTTTGTCTACTTTTCTGGGCGCACGGATAAACCGATTTGAATGGTTCAAAAAGCATTCGATTCCTATTGATGGTGCGATGTGCTGATAAGTTTTTGGCAAAGGCAGGTCTACCCATTTCAGAGATACGAAGAAAACAGTGCAGAAAATATTAATCGAGTTTTTGAGAGAACGGAGTATCCGATTTAAATGATCAAAAAACATTCAATTTGTAATAATTGGGAGAAGTGGTGATTAGATTTTGGCAAAGGCAGGTCTAACTGTTTCGTAGATACCGAGCTAAATGTATTAAGCATCCGATTTGAATGATTTAACAAATTTTCTGCTTGTATTGACGAAACTGTTTCTGGAAAAAAATTTTTTTGAATATCGAAAATAATTCAGATTTTCAAAATTTTAATTTGGTACGGGAAATTCTAGCAATTTGCCTCAAGGCACGATGCCATGCACCACTAGTTCACATTTTTCATTTTTATTTTAAGTAATTTTCATTTGTTTCGCATCAGCTTTGTCTATAAACAATATAATAATAAAACCTTTTTTAGGAATAAAAAACTATCAATGTTATTAACTATAATAAAACCCTATAATTATCACTGAGGTAATAAATAGTCAAAACATATTAAAATATTTAGTGTTGAATAAAGATAAGATTTATAACGTATAAGATAAAGGAATGTATATAACATTACTTAAATATTTAGAATTTTGATTTTTTTTTGAATATATTTCAATTGAAACCCGAATTTATGATAATTAGGGGTAAGATTAGTTTTTTAAAATATTAAAAATATAATTCGAATTCGAGATATTGTTTTAAGACATGAGATATAAAATTTATAAAAGTTGTTATAAATAATGGTACATACATTTTGTTCATAATATTTAGCCTTTGATAATTAAATGTGGGTGCATTTTTTATTATATTTAATTTTTTTATTAACCTGTTTGAAATTATCTCCATCATCGCACCTGGACATGAAGGGTCTGGCGGGGCCTAAGCCCCCAAAACCATCGCCCCCGTAGGGTCCTAGGGTATTGTCGAAACCGTTACCGAAACTTCCTAAAAATAATTGTAATTTAATTAATACTTGCATTTATTACTAAAACATTTTGTACAACATGCTGAGTTTGAAAATTTTAACATGTGTTGCTCATATCAGCAATTTTGCTTAAACTAAAATTGTTGTAACATTTATATTATTGCAAATCGTTGAAATTAGTTATAAAAAATTGCTAATGAAATTTTGCCTACATTATTAATAGATTTAATATTTGAAATTTTGTATTGTTTACAAATTATATGAAAAAAGTGTATGTTATTATTTATTTAATTTTACTATCTCAATATAACACTTCAACTTCTTCTTTTGCTGAAAAAAAGTGTCAAAAATAATACACATGTGAAATAAAACATGTTTTGAGTCTTTTTCAATAAAAAATGTATTTTCAGTTCAAATTTTACAATACACAAATACATATCAATATAAATATTTTTTTGTTTAAAAAAATAATACATTTTTTATCAAATTCATGTTTTATCTCACACGATATATTATTTAGTTTTCCTAAATCTAATCTAAATATTTGACTGATGAATAATTAAAAAAATAAGTACTGTAAAATTAGTAAAACCTAAAGTTTAAAGTGGCATATTATGCAGTAAATCGTATTAACGGGCTTTATTGAAAATTAATAATAAAAAGTCTTACGGATTTTATTATATTATTACTTCAGTCAAAAAAATCGTAATATTTTTATGAAATTTGATTTTGCAAACCTGATTTACTAATTGTAAGTTTATAAAATATAATAATGAGTATAATATTAATTCTTTAATGAGGTTTAGCTCGGATTTGAAATTAACTAATATGAGATCTTAAAAAAATTTCTTTATTTGGCGTGTTATAAAATAAATAAATATTGAATAAAATTAGTTGTTTTAGCTTTCGAAAGAGCTTTTTTAAAATTAGTATTTTTTTATATTAAACTACTCTGAGTAGTCTTAATTCGCACGCCTATTTAATAGGCCAAAAATATTTACTCTTACTAAAAATATTATTTAAAAACTATCTAGCATTTGCTACTGTTATTATTAATTGATATTTGACTAATATTTTGCTAACTAATGAGAACAAAGCTAATAAGCTAGGAATTAAATTGACTATAATGATAATTTGTTTTTAATAATTTTTTTTTTCAAACTAATTTTTACGTCAATTAACATAACATTTTATATAATTTATTTATTCAGAGCATTATTTATGCACAAAAAAAGGTTTTATTATTGGATAGAATGTATGTATTATCCTAAATGCTAGAAAAATGTTGTGCTTTATTTAATAATATATTGATAAAGTAAAAAATATACTTCTGATTTTATCCAAAAATTAGGATCGAACTCTATTTAAGGGGGTATTCTAGTGTAGAAATTCAAAAAATTCGTTCTTTCTATTTCATATTTTCAAAGTTTAACTATCTAAGAATATGGGTACGAGAAGGTTTTTGAAAATTTGAATTATTTTCGGAGATACAGGCATTTTACTGACTCGCTCTCCATACTGGTTTGGCTTCACGCAAAACTTTAAATGCGTTTTTCTCAGAAAAGACTTTTTCAATACTTTTTTGACACGATTTCTCGAGTTTTAATCGACCGATTCACTTGAAATGTTTAGAGTGTTTTGTTTAGAAACCTATCTATAGCCCGAACTAGGATTATCCCCAAATTCCAATTTTTACTATTTTTAAAAATTGGAGAGACAAAAAAAACAGTAAAAAAGACACTTTTTTTCAAACAATCGCCAATTTGTAAAAAAAAACATTTTTTTTACTCATCGCTAGTTTCGGGCGATTGCGATTGTAGATTAATAATATTTTTATTTTTTGCATTTCCGATGGCTAGGAGGGCTGAAATCATGTCAAGACTGAGGTGCCAATTTTTTGAGACCACCTATTTCATCAGCTGTCAGTTTTTACAATTTTCAACTTTTTTATTTTTTTATTTTTGTTTTGTATTTTTATAATATTAGGTTGTCAAATATCTCCCTTCCGCTTTTTTGCTCTTGGTTTAATACAAAAAGGCGGAAGGGAGATATTTGACAACCTATTATTATTAATAAACAAGTGGTAAAAAAATGAATAGTAAAAACATTCATTGCTTTTTTTACGGCACTTTAAAAATGGTCTAAAATTCATCGCTCTATACTAGAATACTCCCTTAAATAATGTATATTTAAATAATATATTCAAATAAAATATATATCGGACCAAACGTGTACCTGATAATATATTGAAAATGATAGTTTTAAATTTCAAAATAATGAAAATATTTTTTCTCAATAACTCCTAAAAATATTGATTAAATAATAGCATTCACAGGATCTTTTTAGTATCATTTTAACTAAAGTCAGATACTGTATAAAGAATATTAGTGCCACAATTTTGAACGATAATTTGATTTCAGCGCAAAATCTAAATTAGGGGCCGTTCAAGTATTACGTAAGCACTATAGGGGGCAGGGGGTTGTTGATTTGCTTATTTTGGGTTGACATGGGGGGCAGGAGATGATTACGTCATAGGTAGTATTTTTATTTTTTTACATTGATTGCAAAATGTTTACGTAAGCATGGAGGTAGGGGGTAAGAGCTTTGCTTACTTTTGCTGACATAGGGGATGCGCGGGGGGGGGGGGGGGTAAATAATTGTAATAAATCTGCTTACGTAATAGTTGAACGATCCCTTATTATCATTTTTGAGTTATTTACAAAGATTTGTGATAATCCGGCCTGTTATCCATATTACCGAATGAGAATATAAACCTGTCCTCACCTCCGCCGTATCGGTCTGAACCGTAACCGTTTCCATACCGGTCAGGTCCGTACCGATCTGTACCGTAACCGTTTCCTCCAAACCGGTCTCCTCCGGAGTAGCCGAACCGATCCGGAGCCAAACCTCCGGAACCTACGCGATCCGGGCCGTAACCGTAACCGAAGCGACCTAGGGGGGAAAATAATTGATATATAATAATTAGGGTTTATACAAAAACCGACATTTTGCAAAACCGGTTTTCTAATTTAAAATTTCCCAAAAAACCGATTTTAACCGGTAGACTGATATGATTTCAAGTTTTATCGAACCGATATGATTCCAAGTGTCAAAACGCTTGCTTCCATCTAGTATATTTGTCATTTTCCATTTATACAATAAAAACCGTTTTTTTCGCTAAAACACCGGTTTTCGACTTTTATAATTTTCGTCAAAAAAACGGTTTTCAAAACTGGTTATTGAAAACCGACAAACCCTAATAACAATATAATTATTTTTTGAAAATAAAGTACAAAAATTTGTTAGTAAAATTATAAATAGTTTGTTTCAAATGTGCAAAAATAAATGAAATTATCATGTTCTAGATGTAATTGAATTGAGCCGATTTAGTTTTCAGTTAAGATTTAAAATGTTAAACAATAATATAGATCTGAATGGTCTATTTTTGAATTTTGTACAATTCTGCATAAACATTTGATTGAAATCAGACAAACCGTTTAAAAGTTATGAGAGTTGTAATAAATGAATGGGCAACTAGGTTAGATGAACTAGATTAATTCTATTTTCGACTGCAATTTTTAAGTATACAGAGTTGCTGTATGTATATTCATATAGTTCACTCATATAGATAATTTAATTTTGTAGAGATTTCTCAAATATTTGATTAAAATTAGACAGACTGTTTGATAGTTATGACAGTTGTAATAAAGATGCCCAAAACAGGTTAGAACTAGATCAATACAATTTTCGATAGCAACTTTTGAGTATACCGAGTTGCTGTATAATCTTGGACTCATAGATAATTTAATTTTTCCCAAGTTTTGCCAATATTTGATTAAAATCAGACAAACCGTTTAAAAATTATGAGAGCTGTAATGAATAAATGTGCAAACTTGGTTGGATTTGAACTTAGTTACTTCATACCTGGATATCGATCCATGGGCATCCTACTTCCTCCAGGATATCTTTCTCTATCCAAAGGATACCTATCACCAGGATAATAGGCAGGATAACGTCCCTTGTCTTTGTCTAACGGGTATCTGTCTCTGTCTAAAGGATACCTGTCTCTGTCCATAGGATACCTGTCTCTGTCTATAGGATACCTGTCTCTGTCTATAGGATACCTGTCTCTATCCATGGGATATCTGTCTCTGTCTATAGGATATCTGTCTCTGTCTGTAGGATATCTGTCTCTGTCTAAAGGATACCTGTCTCTGTCCATGGGATATCTGTCTCTGTCTAAAGGATATCTATCCCTTTCTCCTGGATAAAAAGCTGGGTAACGTCCTCTGTCTCTGTCGCCAGGATATCTGTCTTTGTCTCCAGGATATCTAGGATAATAAGCAGGATAACGTCCTCTGTCACCAGGATATCTGTCTCTGTCACCAGGATATCTGTCTCTGTCACCAGGATATCTGTCCCTGTCATTAGGATTTCTATCATTGGGGTATCTCTCTCCGTCTTTGCTCGGATAGTAAGGGTGACTCCCGTTAACCGAATCCGGCAGAGGTTTCACCGGAGGATATTTATCTTTTCCTCCACCACCACTTGGCGGATAATGTGGTGGTTCCTTTCCACCGCCAGCCGGATATGGTCTGTCCCATCCGGTAGGAAATCTGTCGCCACGACCCGGAATCTCTCGTTCGTAGTACCCGGGTCGTTTTGGCCCTATTGAGCCCGGGTAACGGTGCCCGATCTCGTTCGGGTAACGGTCCGGGTATTGGCCTAGGTTTTATGGTGCAAATTGATAGTTAAAGCTGGTGAAATACTTAACGTGCTTAACACTATTCCTACCGACATTTCATATTTACTATTCCTACCGCGACCGGTCATACAAAATCTATATTTTTCAGTATTGAATGAAGAGTTAATGCTACTTTAAGGGTTTATAAATGCAAATACAAAATATTTCTTTTAATTTAGAATGCAAAATACACATTTTATTCTGTTTTATACAATTTTTTACGATTTTTTTTCTTAGAGTGTTTTTTCTGAATTCTTGTTGGAACTATACGGCAAGTTAATTGGTATAGAAAATTCCTGCCTTGTACATCGTATTCCCGTAATTTTTTCATGTGAAAACAATGAGTTTATCCTGAATAAATACAAAATAATGTAAATGCTTGATAAATTCTTTCTAAAATTCATATTTTATCGAATGATTTCTGACTACTTTATGAATGACATCTACACCAAACACGACGCTAATTCCAATTGAATTGACTCCCGTATTAGTGTAATTTTTTCAACATATGTGTATGTAAGTGAAAATTAGAATCTTCTTTCTTAGCTTCCAAAATTGTAAATATTATTTGAGTGAAGTCCTTGTTTTTTAGCTCTACCAGTATTTGTAGCTGTTATATTGCTTCAATTGTACCTACCATCACAGTTTCTTTTTTTTACTAAAAGGTTAGCTTTAAGTAGAATGGTAAAAACGCTTAAATTTTTTATTTCATTGGTTTCATTGGTTATAAATCTTCAAAGAAATTCTCAGTTTTGTACGTATACTAGATGGTTATCAAAATTTTACATCCCATTTGCTGGGCATAATTTACATCGTATATTGAAAAGTTACTAAAATTTTATACTACGTTTTCCTGAATATTATTGAACATGTGTTGAATAAATTTACACCTTACTTGATATTATATTTTATTGAAAATATATGTTTGTCGATAGTAGTACGTGGTCTTTCACAACAATTTTGGTTGCAGTCAATGTAGTTGAACCAACCTTTGAATTCAAAACAAATCCTATCAATTTGTTGTTTGGATTCCTTCGTAAAAATCTGTCTACACATAGACATTGAGCAAAAATGAGAACCCACTTTTTATGCCGTAGAAGTGCAATATTTATACTCCTTGCCTCATATGCGCAGCGTGCATACATAATTGGAAAAAATGTATATAAATTTGCAGAAGGCAGTTTTTACGAGTCTAAATTCTTCTGAATTTACATTTTCTTGTAAGTTCGATCATATTCTTAACAATTACTACAAAAAATGCCGTCCGAACATCGTCCTTCGTACTACCGGTCAAATGACTGGTCGCGGTAGGTAAGACAGTATACATTTTTTTTCCAAAAATAAATCAAAATGAAAAATCAAATTAACATTGAAAAATGTATCACACTCACATATTAGGAAAAGTCATGAAGTTTGTTGACGATTCAATTACGTTTGATATGAAAAATACTAATCGAAAAATCAAAAACGGTCATTTGACCGGTTCTGGTAGGAATAGTGTTAAAAATAATTATGAAATAAATACTTTGTGAGCCAAATAATTTATAGAATGAAACTCTTTTGTGAGCCATTTCTAAAGTAAATCTAGTTAGTTTTACATCTATATATGTTAAAGTTTTTATAGATTGATGTCCTTTAGTACATCATTTGTTCATAAAAAACTTGTGCAATTGATAAATAAATCTGTCATAGTTATAAATATTTTATAATAATATATTACCTTTGTGCATATCATAAGAGTCCCAATAAGGATCGTACGGATCGTACGGTGGTCTGTATCTATCACCGCCAGGATATCTGTCTCTGTCATTGCCTGGGGGATATCTATCTCTATCTCCTCCTGGATGATATCTGTCACCGCCGGGAGGATATCTGTCTCCAATTCCAGGATATCTATCACCTGGAGGGTATCTATCGCCGCCCGGAGGATATCTATCGCCTCCCGGAGGATACCTGTCGCCTCCCGGAGGATACCTGTCACCTGGAGGATACCTATCGCCTCCCGGAGGATACCTATCGCCTCCCGGAGGATACCTATCGCCGCCCGGAGGATATCTATCACCTGGAGGGTATCTATCGCCTCCCGGAGGATACCTATCGCCTCCCGGAGGATATCTATCGCCTCCCGGAGGATACCTATCGCCCCCAGGATATCTATCACCTGGTGGAAGTCTGCCTCCAGGATATCTGTCATCAGGCGGCGGCAATCTGTCACCTCCTGGATATCGATCGCCGCCCGGAGGATATCTGTCTCCAGGCAGTCTGTTGTCGTCAGGAAATCTGTCGCCTCCAGACGGGTACCTGTCGCCTCCCGGAGGATATCTATCGCCTCCCGGAGGATATCTATCGCCTCCGGGATGATAGTCGCCGCCTGGGTATCTGTCACCGGGGTACATGTCTGGGTATCTGTCGCCGCCCATTGGGTAACGGTCACCTAGGGGAAAAATATTATCGAAATTATGTAGTTGTTATAATAATAAATAAAAATATATAAGAAAAAATGGAATAATAATATAGAAAAATAATATTTTACTTCAGTATACACCTAAGTCTGTTTTTACACGGAGATTGGTTCCAGAAAAAACCGTGTAAAAAAGACATTGATCTTATACAAAAATGGGTGATTTGTTCTTAATCTCTAAAACCTATTAAAATTAGTGAAAAACAAGAATTTTTAGGGTATTCCCCTAAATTAGTGCTATTCACATTTGCTTTGACCAGTAAAAATTGTTTGTACGCGCTAAAGGGGAATTCACTTAAATCTTTAAGCTAGTGTTTGCAAACTATCGATACTATCGATGGTTTCAGACTTTTTTCTTTCATAAATACTTTTTTGTGATATGAACATACCTCGCAAAAATTAAATTTGACAAAAAAAATTTAAGTACATAAAATTTCAAATCGTGCTAAATGGAATAAATTCGTGCAAAAAAATTAAAAATATTCAATTTTCAAACCGTGTTATATCAAAACCGTGTACAAAAAGACCGTGTAAAAACAGACTTAGGTGTATTTTTATCGTCTTACCCGGTCTGTGCGGCCACATGTCGTCGGGTCGGCCTCCTGTTGTCATGTCGCCATCGCCGTTTAATAAATTATCTAAAATTATTATTGTTCAATGAATCTTTCCTTGTTTTAATTTTATATTTATAAATCTATTTTATAACTTACGCATTAAATTTTCATAATAATCGTAATCGGCGTCGTAGACGATTCGCATTCCGTCCCTTTGGTTGAAGCGGCTAAGGCGACATGTTCGGAAACGATCGCTGTTGGAAATTTAAAAAAACAACATTAATAACTAATATAAAAAAATACTTAAAATACCTAACTAATCTAAATATTTCAAGAATTGCATCAAAAGCAACAGTTCCGTGTTCATTATTTAATTTCAAAAATTGCAAATCAAGCCGAGTGTTTCGAATTTTTATTGTATCTTGCACGTAATTTAGTTTCATATTTTAATTAATGAGAAAGAAAGTATGGACATCTTCAGAAAATAGTTTTACTTACTTAATTATAATCAGAGTGCCTACAAAAATAAACTTTATAAGTTCTTGTTTATTAATAAATAACAAGTAAATTAAATTGTGATAAATATGAAGAATCTGAGAGATAATTATTTATCAAATATTTTATATATTTACTTGGGGGCGTTTTTTAATCACTTGAGGTTTTTATGGGGAGGGGGGGCTTGACAAAAAAGCACGAAATATCACGTGTATTTATTTTTTACCTGATTTTTTTTAAAAAAGGTCTAAACATTTTCATAAAAATGTTAAAAATTACAATTTTTTCTCGTAACTAAAAACGCATGTGATGTTTGTAGGGGAAGGAGGGATTATCTTGAATACCACACCAAGGAGGAGGGGAGGGTCCAAAAATCCTTAAAAAATCGATACGTGATTAATAGACGCCTCTTTATATAGTACGTCAACTATTTTTTTTTTATTAAACTTTATTTTTAATAATTCTCTTGAATCTCTCACATTTATCAGAAAATCGTCTAATTCTTATCAATGTTTAGTGAAGAACTACACACAATTATTAAGGACATTTTTTTTGAGGTTTTATATAGAAGTTACGAGACATGCCTATGGATCTAACATTTTGTTATTATTTAATCATTATTATGAATGTAATTTGTGAGATAATTAGAAAAGTTTAATATTTCCACTCACACATATGCATAATTGCAGCCTTATCAATTATTTTTTATTTACTCTGTGCTATTTTATAATTATTTAAAAAAAAATGTAATAATTGTAATTTGAGGTTTTAATAAGATAAATAATTTATTTAAACATTTAAATTTAGTTTTTGAAATATTCAATATATTTTTACCTGTAAACTGCTGATCGACATTGGAATGACGTTTGCCTAAGGCATTCGTCCAGGCATTCGCTCAGAGATCGACCTAAAAAAAATATTTTCATTCATTTGACTTAGTCAGCAGAAATAATTGCTTACATCAGTAATATTGCATATTTACATGGAAGATATCGAGTTGTTTGTAAAGAAAAATATTACTTGTAACTTATACCTTGAAAATTTCCTTTTACACAAATAAGATATTAAAATTAAACTAAAATACTTGTATATTAATCTCTGTTGCTCAACAATGATAATTTATATAATAAATTATATAAAATTCTATTTAATTAATTTATACCGGTTATCTCCGAATGGAATTCTCCTCCCAGTCTGGAATTTCTGTACCTCTGGAAGGCAGTGTCGGCGCCCCTTCTTCTGCCAGCCCCCGACGCGAACAAATGGGACGTCACTGAATTGTCGGGGTACTCGCTGCCCCGAGCTAAAAAAATGATAATAATTTTTAATAAATTAATGGTTTATCTAATGAAGATCGATCAATATGATAGAAAAGATATATATTGACGATATCTTCCTGGAAGCTGATAATCAGTAATCCAATCATAATTAATCAAAGTCAATATTTGGTTTATTGGAAATATTAGAATAATTAGAGCTGTGAGCCGGATCCCGGCGACGGTTCCATTTTTTTGTATCATTTAGTCACCTACAACGATTTATTTTTATATCCTATATTATTATTTCTAATTCTAATTAATTTTAACTCAACATTTCAAATATTCATATATAATAACTCAAGTATTTTTATTATTTCATTACACTTATCCTGTCGATTGTTTAATTTTTAAGAATTGTTTTAATAAAAAATTTAAATTGATACTTGTTTCCCGAATTGTTATGAAATTTGCTGGATTTATTCTCGAGTGATCCACATGGAGGAAAATTTGAATTCATTAATTTGATATACGGTCTCTGAAACAAATATTTATTATCTGAATTAGATAATACCATATAAATCAATTCGCTCACGTGAAATTTTTAAAATTCTATATTGTTTAAGTGAAATAACATTTTATAATTGTTGAATATTTTAGTATGAAATATTTTAAAATATATAGCTTTTTACTTCTGAGAAATTAAACATTGTTATATGTATTAGTCTGAATCTTTTCATTGCGATCCATAAGTCTTTAGCCCATAAATATTGATTTTAATGACTTCTCCAAATCATACTTTGACACTTGTTTTAAGAAAGATCACCAACTATTTTCAATAGACAACACCCGAGAAATTATTATTTCTGAAACTAAATATTTATCTATTTCAACAACATTTCAAACGATATAGAAGTTAATAAAAACACTTCTACTTTTAAAATTGTTACTTTTTTAAAAAATAAACTCAGTTTATGTAACATATATTAGTTTATGTTTTAAGTATATATTATTCTGTATATTTGTTATTTATATATCAAACACTATTTTAAAATATGCAATATTTCAAAATTAGTTAGCAAACTCTTAGGAATTTTTGAAATTTGTTGTTTCACGATTTATTAGTCGATGTACAATCGTCAGGCTCTAAAAATACGCTTCTGCTTTGAAATCTATATATATATATATATATATATATATATACATATATATATATATATATATATATTTGTACATTTACTAATAATGATCATAAGCTCCACTTTCACCATATTCTAACTGCAAGGGTCGAATTACATAATGGGAAGAGCTTAAGTAGAAAAATAAATATACGTGTCTGTTAGCAAAGTATGATATTTTTATATTTCTATGAAATTAACAATTTAGAAATTAACTCAATTAAACTAAGGCGTTTTGTTGTTATTCTTTTAATAAAATGTTACTTTTTTAATACTATATGCAGCCAGTTTTGTAATTTCTCCTGATCAAAAGAAACCGCCTCTTGCTATGAATATCGAAAACTTTAACTGAGAAACTAAAAACTAAAGAAACTGAAAATATGCTTCAAAGTAAAAGTTTATAATTATTTATTTAGAAGTTTATGAACATTACATATAACCTAATAATGAAAGCAGATTAAATATTATTCGAATGTACAATTTCCAATTTGAGAATTGCGTTCATGGCAAACAAATATATAACGAAATAGAAATGCACAAAAAAGTATTAATTATAATTATATTAAAAAATTCAAAGGGTTTCAAAAAAAATTTCAAGAACAAAAAGCGAAACACGTAGCTTGAAAAGGATGTTTGTGACTGAATAAAAAAATAAGAAAAAAGTAGCCGGATTTTTTCCCAGAGCGGTCCCGAATTTTTCGGGATCGATCCGGACTTTTCTGGGTTGGAACCGGTTCTTGAAAATGACGGTTCTTGACAGTTTTAAGAATAATAGTATTACTTATATTATTAACTTCCCGTAGGGTAAGTTATAGTAATCGTCCAAAAATCGAAATCAAAATTTTTTACATTTCTCGACGTTTTGAAGGTTTCTGAACATTTTGGCATACCTCAGAAAAAATGGATGTGTGTGTGTGTGTGTGTGTGTGTGTGTGTGTTTTGTATGTCCGCGTTTTTTCGTCCACGTTTTCGGGCGCACGGATCAACCGATTTGAATGGTTTAAAAAACATTCGATTCCTATTGATAGGGAGATGTGCTGATTAGTTTTTGGCAAAGGCAGGTCCAGCCGTTACGGAGATATGGAGCAAAGAGTGCAAAAAATAGAAAGCGAATTTTTGAGAGAACGGATCAACCGATTTGAATGGTTTAAAAAACATTCGATTCCTATTGATAGGGAGATGTGCTGATTAGTTTTTGGCAAAGGTAGGCCCAGAGGTTTCGGAGTTACAGAGCTAAATTTAAAAAAAATGGCTGTTTTTGAGAGAACTAAGCGTCCGATTTAAATGATTCAAAGAACTTTCTGCTTTTTTCAACAAAACAATTGATTTTGGAAAAAAAAATTTTTTGTTTCTAATTTTTTTTCAAAAAATTTTTTTTGTAATTTTGGACTAAAAATTCAAAAAATCACCCAAGCTAAGCACAGTCTAAGCGCCACTCTGGTAGAAATGTTTACGCAAGAGCGTTTAGACTGTTTGTGTACTGGAGCACTTTTCCAATTTTGTGAAAATTATTGAAAAATGTGAAAATGCCGCCAAACTGAGCACAGTATAAGTGTAAATGTCGCACAGAATTATTTGCAAATACGTTTAGACTGTGACTATGCGGGAGCACTTTTTCAATTTTGTGTAAATTTGGCAACTATTTTTTTTTGGAATTTGATTCGAAATGAAATGACGATTGTTAATGTTCTGGAGATCATAAATTGATTTATTTATAATTAACTTTCCATAGGGTAAGTAATCGCAAAAAAATCGAAAATGAAAATTTTTATATATCTTCACGTTTCAGAGGTTTCTGAATATGTTGGCATACCTTGGAGAAAATTGATGTATGTGTGTGTGTATGTGTGTGTGTGTGCGTGCATGTGTGTGTGTTCGGATACAAATTTTCGTCGACGATTTCGGGAACACGGATAAAGCAATTTGAATAATTCAAAAAACATTCTAGCTGTTCCGAAGATATGGGGCAAAAAGGGCCAAAAACGGTAACTTAGTTTTTAAGAGAACGGAGCGTTCGATTTGTATAGTTCAAAACACATTTTACTTGTATTAACAAGATGAAGATTTGATCAAATTTTCATGAAGATAGGACTAGCGGTTTCGGAGATCTAGTAAAAAAAACTAAAAAAAAATAACATTTGGCGGTCAACAATAATCATTAGACATTAGACATATGCATATCAAATTATCAGATATTTTATTGAGATTTTTACAATAAGTATAAGTTTTGTTTACATTCCTATGGGTTCCGTACCATTGTTTTTCTGTTAGACAGCGACGCGGCGCTTACGCGCTTTATATTTTGTCTCTATGCAGTTAAAGCAGTACGATTGCTTTGAAAAAAAGTTCAGATCTTCCAAAATATATCAAAATGAAGATAACATTTTTTCCAAAAAAAAATTTTTATAAAAAAAATTGTTTAAAATTTTTTTTTAAAAAAAAATTTTTTTTTCAAAAAAAGTAATTTTTTGTCCAATTTAAAATTTCTAAAAAATCTCATTTTTTCGAAGTAAAATTTTTTCAAAAATGTTAATCGTTTTTAAAAAAATAATAATTTTTGGTACGGGAAGTTCCAGCAATTTGCCTCAAGGCACGATGCCTTAATTGCCTTAAGACAGAATTCCACTTACAGCTAGTTTTTACTTACGGTTGTCCAAGCAAACCAAGTCGTAAAAGTGGTGCGTGGGGCTGCTGGCAATGCTGAGGTCATCCTTTTGGGAAACCGAATCCTCTTCACTCAGGGTGCACTGGTGAGTGGCGTCGTCGAATTCCACCGAACGACAGAAATATCTAAGAAAAAATTAAATTGGAAAATATTCTTAATATATATTCTATTACACTGTTCTTACTTCTCGGCTCTCATACACATCGACTGGCATTCCTCGAGAGTGACATTGTTCAGGATGTCGACTTCGAAGGGTCCTCCCAAACGTTTGTTCTCTTCTTTCACGAACACGGCTAAACCGTCACAACGCCGTTCGGCTGGGTAGAAAAGAAATATTAATAATAATTTTTTACATTATATGTGAAGAAAAATTTCCTTAACAAACTTCAGAAAGATTTATCAAAATCCGAATAATCGTCTAGGAGGATTATCCTTTGATGCGTTCAAATTTGTATATAAAATTTTAATTCATTATTTGTTCGCACAATGTGGAACAAAGTTGAAAAGTTCGTTGAAAACTGCTGGAGCAAATTAATAGTACTTATTAATATAATATTTCAATGTATTTATAAAAATGTAAAAAGAACTCTACTGACGAGCAAAATGTAAAAAGTATCAAAAGGGGCTCTACAAACGAGCAAACTGATTAAATATAGAAAAAGGACTCCAATGACTAGTAAAATGTAATACAAATAAAATGGAATTCTACTAACGAGCAAAAAGGAGTCTACTGACTAGCAAAATATAGAAAATATCCAAAAGGGACTCTACTAACGAACAAACTGATAAAATATGAAAAAGGACTCTACTGACGAGCAAATTGATTAAATATAAAAAAGGACTCCAATGACTGGTGAAATGTAATACAAATAAAATGGGATTCTACTAACGAGCAAAAAGGAGTCTGCTGACTAGCAAAATATAGAAAATATCTAAAAAGGACTCTACTGACGAGCAAACTGATAAAATAATGAAAAGATTCTACAAACTAGCAAAATGTTAAAATTTTTCTGAAAGAGATCGGAAGGGACTCTACTGACGAGCAAAATGTAAAAAGTATCAAAAGGGACTCTACTAACGAGCAAACTGATAAAATATGAAAAAGGACTCTACTGACGAGCAAATTGATTAAATATAAAAAGGGACTCCAAAGACTAGTAAAATGTAATACAAATAAAATGGGATTCTACTAACGAGCAAAAAGGAGTCTACTGACTAGCAAAATATAGAAAATACCCGAAAAAGACTCTACTGACGAGCAAACTGATAAAACAATGAAAAGATTCTACAAACTAGCAAAATGTTAAAATTTTGCTGAAGGAGATTGGAAGGGACTCTACTGACGAGCAAATTGAAATATACAAGACTTTTTTTTAAAAATGGAACTCTACTGATGAGCAAAATGTAAAAAATTAAAAATCCGACTCTTCTGATATCTTAAGATAAATCTGCGAGTATTTCGATTTTTTTGTTAATGAATACCAATTTTTAGGTTTCATATTTCAAGCTTATTTTTTTCTTACAGTTGAGACAAGTGTTTTCCAAGTAGTCTCCGTTGGGGTCGTCCTCTAATAATTCTGGATGGGTTCTTCTCGTAAACCTGCTAAGGGCACAGGACCTCATGTTGACGTCGAAACTTGCAGATCTGCACACAAAACTAAATTCTGATAGACATTTGTCCTCGCAATCGGTCCTATTGTTGGCAGACACCTAAGAGATAACAGATATAAAGGTAAGTAATAGATAGATAATATAAATCCTAATTCAAGTGTTATATTATTTACCTCTTTGTAATCGGATACTGGCAACTTTAGACGCTTTCTTGGATGTCTTTCGAAAACATATCTTCTGCTAGGACATTCACGTTCTGGACGATTCGCTACAATTGTTAATTATAATGATATGTATAAAATTATCTCATTTAATATTGCTGTTGGTTTATATGATAACTTCTTACATGTTAGGCAAATTTCTGTGAAATGGACACTGTTGGGCACCAGCATCAAATTCCCGATGCCCTCAGGAGCCGCCTGCTCCCTGGACAAATAACATGTCGATTCTTCATATTCTGGAGTTGAAGACATGCTTCCCATGCCGTTTACATCATTCGAACCTAAGAAAGGTAAGTGAATTATTTATTACTAGCTGACCCGACAAACTTTATTTTGCTAAGTAAGGTATATTCTAAACAATTTCCAGAGAATCATAATATTAATACTTTAAGTGTATAAGGATGTGCTGTTTGTGAATGCTATATACATTGAGGTATTATAAGAACAATAAACCCCATTAGTTTTTCTACATTTTGTCAAAACAATCAAACTGGAAGTTTTATACACTTTTTATAGAAAACATGATATAATCCAATCCAAGTCTTTTTTGGTCTTGAATGAATCAAGTATTTCTTCTTTGACCTGCTTTTTGAAAAGTTTCAAGTAACATTCGATGAATTAAAGTAAATTTTATAAAAAGTATAAATGTAGAGCAGGGCGAGGCACAAACGTCCAATTTGACTGTGAGCAAATATTAATTATATTGTGAAAACCATAACAATTATATCACAACAAATAACACATTTCAAACGAACAATTATCTGACTACGTTCAGTAAAACTGCCAGCTACTTCATCATTAGAGAAATGTGCTTTTTTATGTCTTTTTGAAAAATTTGTTATCTAGACCTTTTTACCCTATAGGCGGGGTAATTTGGAACAGACAGGTGGCAAACAGGTTTAATGTCTTATTTTAATTTTAAAGGTATTTTACATAATTTTTACATTTTTAATTAATGCTAAAAAAACTACCAACGAAAGAAAATACTTTTATTATGGATTTTCAAAAATTACCGTTTATCTCCCCCATTTCAAAGATTATCGTTTTCAAATCAAGTTTGTAGCTGACTAAACATCTTTTTTCCTCTACTTTCAAATATTGTTGTTAAACAATGCTTAACTTTACTGGTTTTTGACACATCGGTGGTCGACCTTTTTAATCCCAAACCTTCAAATTTTACTATCTATTCTTCGATAAATTCTGGGAAATTATAACTGGTAAAATGTTATCCGACAAAATGTCTCTTTGATCGATACCAAATTTAGGTTCTGAATTGAAATAACATAAATTGAAAATAATATAACCTAGAAAATGTTTTATAAATATCAATGAGTAAATAATTATACAAATGAGATCTTTCGGTGCGTTTGAGAAAAATATGCCAAAAAGTGCGTTTTCATATTAACATTTAAAAAAAGTTGATATTTTGAGTTTCTAGTAACATTTGCGGCCCGTTTTTTAACGTTTTTGTGTATAAATAAAACTACAAACAAAACTACTTACTACAATTTGATAATAATGAAATAATATTCACGTAAAACATCCTATTAAACGTAATTAAACATCATTTGTCAAAAATGTTTGACATTTGACGTTTTAGCCACCGTCCATTGTTTTATTTAAATTACGCTTCTACAAATATCTTCAAATTAAGAATGTAAAGTTTCTGAGCGATTTTGAAATAATATCTCACCTTTCCGACAACCTACTGATTAGCACGAATTTTTCAAGACTAAGACCGGCCAAATCGGTTTAGCCGTTTTCGAGTTTTACCGAATCATTTGATCGAGAGCTCCATTTTTATATATAAGATATGAATTTTTCGATGTTTGTTACCTGAATATGAGGCCACTCTGGCCCCTGGTTGAAAGTCGAATGATGAGCAAGCTCTGACAATATTGTTGGTCGCTGTTCGGTCCCTTAGGCATAAATCTTGACATCTTTCTAATACACGAAAGGGCGGTGAAGTGTCTCGTACCTAAAGAACAATATTCATTAGTTGTTGGTTTAATAATAAAAGTACGAATTAATTCTACTTACCACATCGTCATCGAATCCTTGTAGCTGGTGGTTTGGTAGTCTCTCGTACATTACCCGACCCATACCTTGATTGCATGTTGTTTGGGCTAAAAGTTAAATAAAAATCTATATAAAGAGTTATTTTAGAAATTAAAAGATTTCAAAGGCATAGTTCAAGTATCAAAGTGCAAGATAGTAGGCTGATCACCTACTATTTTTGCCCGAATTTTCTCACCTTTCGTCATCATTCTTAGGACTGTTAGTACAGTGATGGCTTGCACCATGGCGCCAGTAGTGGTCACTAGGCGCATCTTGTTGCGTCACGCACGTCACGCGGCGTCACGTGACGACGCAAATTGAACGTCACTCGTCCGTCCTGGTCAAGTGACGTCACTCGTTCTATTTTTGCGTGCAACTTGCAACTATTTTTCCTTGTGCGTTACACGCAGGCCGGAGGCATTAAGTCGTTTTATGATCTCTGGAAAAAAAAAATATTGTGCTATTTTTTTATATTGAACTAGCAAACCCGACGAACTCCGTTTCGCCACCAGATGGTTTCGTGAGAAAGATGAAGAAATTTTTTATTTGTTTTATATTTGAAAAGGAAAAATTTGATTTTATTATACAACAGTAATGAATTCATTTCGATTACAAAAATGAAGTGTTTTTTAGTTGAACTTCTCTAAGTAAATGAAAGTGAATCCGCAAATTAACCGTTTCATTGAAGTGCTTTTTGGTAAACCACATTTTTTGTTTTTTGGTCTGACGTTAACACAAACAAAGCGGATGGTTTTCCAATTCGTGAACAGGCAACGTATAACTGCCCATGTGAAAAACAATAATTTTCTAAATAATATATTTGAAATTTATCCCGCGAACACTAAGCGATTGGAATTGCGACTTGTTATTGCGAACGCAAGGCGAACTGGAAATTGCAATCGTTTGAAGTCAAACGGAAGACCAGTCGGAATCATTGGTATGTCACCAAATCGCCAGCAATTTTTGATTGAATGGTGAAATTCAGTGCGTGTACATCATTATTGCGGCAAGAATTGCTCGTTGATGTAACCAAGCATAATTCTGATAATTTTCACTAATGTCATTACTCGATTTTTTAATTACGGTGCGTGCACCACTTTATTTTCTTAGCTATAAACCTTGCGGAGCCCGAGACCTTTGCAACGAATTCAAAATTGTCGAAATCGGTTCGTGCGTTCTCGAGTTATTTCGTCAGGAAGAAAAACCCGACTTATTTTTATATATATGTAGATTATTTGAAAGATCGTTCTTCTATGTATAGCTTTTATATTAGATATGTATCTAGTCGTTATGAGTGCCGACGAAAGGCAATTTTCAATTGAGATTACATTTGAGATCTATAACCTCAAGTAGAAATTTCATATCATGCTGTCTGATATCGAGCTAGTGTGGTTCGCGGAAAAAATGTTTTTCCTTAATTTGTTTTTTAATTAGAAATACCAATAATGTTATCTAAGTCCAGTAAGAGCATTTTTCATAAAACTTAACAATTTAAATAGTTTCAAGGATATTTATCAATTTGTTTTTAGGAAATTTTGAAGAAACCTTTCTCTTAATTTTATTTTTAAGTACTTTTGAAACATCACGAAATAAATTATTATAATTCACACAACATAAATCAATTTTCAAGTTTTTTTCATACATTTCAACATTTGATATGTGCCAGTAAACTCAAAATACAAAGAATTGGCTTTATACAATGAACACAATTATTAAAAATGTTTTTAAATTGAATAAAAAAATTATACAGTCTAAAATAGTTCGATCAATATTATATAAAAATATGTAAAAATTTAATTAGCACAGAACCAATTGCCGTATTATGGGGCACACCTAGTGTGACAACCTAAAAAAGACAATTTTTGGGAATTAAAAAATAAAAAAACTAGTGTATCGATCCATAGGGTATATTTATACATGTTTTGAGAATGCACAGTAAATTTTTGAAATAAAATATTAAATATTTTTGAAATGACACGCGATCTCCGGCGGAGCCACAAAAAAGGTGATTGCAGCCTTCTTCTTTGATAAAACCAGAAAAAAAAATTCTTGTCAAACTAAAACAAACTAAAAACCTCGAGCGAACAAAAAGATCAAAAATTGACAAAAAGGCGGCTTGTTGAAAATAAAAGTTTTTTCCCAAAATTTTGGTGGTTTTTGGCCTGCCAAAACTATTTAAGATATCGATTTAAAATTTTAGTATGTTATTTTTAAAGGTTTTCTTGAAAATTTCACACTAGTTGTGTTCCTTAATATCATTGTTCATAGTTTACTACAAATAATGTAAAATGAACTAGTTATAAGTTTAACTCTCCCATTTTATTAATTTTTTAGTTTTTCATAAATATACAGCCGGAGTTTTTATCTATTTAAAACTATTATTAAATTTTGTAAAATTTGCCAATACTGTATGTGTTATGTATAAAATCAGAAAATTGGATTAACATTAACTTCTCCTTTCGTCAGTTAATTTTTGAAGGTGTAATTTTCTTTCACAAATTCAATTAATAAAATTCAGATAATTTTGATCAAATTATGATCTTGATTTCACCAGTACCATGAAGCGAAAAAATATTTTATTAAATCAGTTTTACTTTATTTTATGTATACTATGATCAGAAAAATATATATAGAAAAGAAATTCAGAAAAAAATATAGTATCTGCAGTAAAAGTAGTAATTTATATATATATATATATATATATATATATATATATATTCATTCGTATCATCGCCGAAATTTCGACATCAGCAATTATTATTAAATTTCTGCTGCGCGATTCCTTTTATTATGCAACTACTGGGCGATACATTTAAAATAGTTCAACAGATATATATGTATATATAGATAGACACTAAATGTATAAATATAATTAATGGTCATTTTTCATTTTTTTGCAATAAAAACGAATAAATAGAAAAATATCATCTCGATTGTGTCGCACGCTCTGTTAACTTTATAAGGTCATCGTATCGTATTTTCCGAACAATATGAGGCAATTATTTACGATTGCGAAATATTGCAAATGAATAACCAGATATATATCATTATTATTATTATTTATTCTGAGAGAATACCTAGAACATATATGTTTAACACAATACACATACTGAACATAATATATGTACATTAAATAATATTTATACTACAATATCATTTACTGATGAAAGTTGAGCTTTTCAATTGCAATTGTAAGATGTAAGTAGAATATAAGAGATTATAAGTAGAATTTTCCCTTTGTAGCTGTGAATAGGATAATAAATAAAGGGAAAATATAAGTTTTGAGACGGGATAATAAACTTGAGAAATTTATAATTTGAATATATTTCTTTTAAGGAGATCCTCAGTTTTATTTTTCTAGGATTTTTGATGAAATTTGACATGGTGATAAAGTTGATAGTCAAACCGAATACCTTAAGATATTTTAGACTATAAAAAGTGGTTTAGTTATAAAAATAATTGAAGTTTTGAAAAATAGACCGAAGAGTGAACTTGAGATTCTTCTCGTAAGTTTTAATATCAATTGAGTATATTTCACATTGGCGAAAATTTGCAAAGTTACGAAACTTTCTGACTGTGCAAGTAAGAAGTTTCGACTTCGAATAAACACATCAAAAATTTCTTTCTTTCTTTAAATTTTATTTTGATTAAAATTATTATTTATGAGAAAATTTTTGAAATTTTTATTTATTTTATAGCAACTAATACAAATTACATTTCCACTTAAATTAAAAACAAAATAGTGGAATTTTAATTTCCCGTAGGGCAAGTTATAGTAATCGCAAAAAAATCGAAAATGAAAATTTTTATAGATCTTTACGTTTCAAAACCTTCTGAACATGTTGGCATACCTTAGAAAAAATGGATGTGTGTGTGTGTGTGTGCGTGTATTTATGTATGTTCGGCTACAAATTTTCGTCGACGATTTTGGGAACACTGATCAACCGATTTGAATATTAAAAAAACATTCGATTCGTATTGATAAGGAGACGTGCTGATTAGTTTTTGGCGAAGGCAGGTCTAGCCGTTCCGAAGATACGAGACAAAAAGTGCCGAAAACAGTAACTCAGTTTTTAAGAGAACGAAGCGTCCGATTTGAATAATTCAAAAAAACATTTTTTATTGTATTGACAAGAACTGAATAAATTTTTGGTAAGGCAGGTCTAGCGGTTTCGGAGATTCTAGTAAAAAAAAGTAAAAAAAAAAGCCATTGGCGGTCAAAAATGATCATTAGACATATGCACATCAAATTATCAGATATTTTATAGAGATTTAACAATAAGAATAAATTTTGTTTAAATTTCTACGGATTCCGTACCAATGTTTATCCGTTAGACGGCGATGCGGCGCTTACGCGCTTTCTTATAATATTGAAAGAAACGAACAATTTAAAATCGATTTTTTGATGAATGCAAATGAAAATTCGGGACATTTTTGCTCAAAAAACTCAGGACAAAATACAGGACTAATTATCAATTTAAATTAAAAAGCAAAAATATGACCATTCAATGGAAAATATAAATATCGAAATTTGTTTAATTTGTTTCAGTACACTTTGTTTGAAAAAATTCTGAAAAATAGATTAGAAACAATAGAAAATATATAAGGAAAATAAAGCACATAAAAGAAGAAAAATATGAAAAGTTTCGCTTATAATATTACATGTGTAAATGTAATTTATTTGTCATAGTTATAAAACCTTTTACCTGATAATTCAAATAGCTATAGTAAGACTTAGGTCACTAAAAAATTGATATTACTCTCAAAAATAAATGGTGAACTTGAGCAAACAAGGGTCCACATTTTACTTAAATTGATAGAGAAAAATATTAGAGAAATATCGGAACTTCAAATGCGGCACTAAAAAATAGAAAAAAAATCTCAAAATCAGGTTTTGAAAATATAGAAATATAAAACTTTTTGGTCTAAGCACTAATGATTATATGAAAAAAACCTCAGCTTCTATCGGAAAATATCGGAACTTCAAATGAGGCACTAAAAAATAGAGAAAAAAACTCAAAATCAGGCTTTGAAAATATAGAAATATAGAACGTTTTGGTCTAAGCACTAATGATTATATGAAAAAAACCTCACCTTCTATTACAATTTCCAGTCAGCAAAGTTTGAAACACTTCACTGTTATAAATGAAAACACACTTTTTATTTAAATATACAAAAAATTAAACTATAAAATAATTTTTTATATCAAACAATTTTGTAACTAAATTATTTTAAATATAACTAAAATTTATTTTCATTGTTCATGCACTTT